TATAGGGACTGGATAAATACAAACTGGACTGACGGAGGTGCGACTGACTGAATGAAAAAAAAAAAAAACACTGAGAAGCTGACTGAGGCTAAAAAGAGAGATGTTGCAGAGAAACTAAAGCATAAAGGATAATCAAATAGATACAAGAGAACAAGGTTCTATAAAATTGAAAGTCACAAAAATAACTAAATAAATAAAGAAGTACTGAAATAAAAAGAAACAAACTACACACAGACACATCAAGTTTTTACTATCAGGCTCAGAAAATCTATCATACGTTTTCATTTACATGTAAACAAGGCCTAAAGCTTATAATTAAACCTGATTCCAGTCATTTCATCTCTAATTCACATCTTCTTGCATGTGACCAAAACATCTCTTTTATTTGTGAGACACTTAAACAAAACCACACTAAATAGAAGCAGAACGAAATGAATCTGCCTCTGAACTTTGCTGCCTCTCATGCAGTTCGAAGCGAACGCCACACTATCTAGTTCAGAACTGTGATGGGTTGATACTAAAATACTGATACCACCAATACCAGATATTTATATATCTAGAATTTATTCTAAAATCAAAAATACTTCAGTCTTTTCAAGAAATAAATCATTAACAGGAACACAGTCGAAAGTAACTGAACTATTCAAATCTATCAGTCTGTTATGTTCATTTAATGTAAATTAAGACACAAGTTTTCATTTTTTGTATTAGTTCTTGATGTTTAAATAAGAATTTATTTTAATGATTTTATTATTTTGCTTCATTTTTTGTTTAAAACACATTTCTTGCATATTTTATAGGATTGGGTCCTCTGTTTTTTGTCTTACATTGAAACTTGTTCTTGTAAATGAGGATGCTGCATCAATAGGCTTCAGAGTTTCAAATGAATAAAAAACCACGCCTTGTGTTCTTTACAAAGTGGTGATTTGACTTTCACTACTTTCCTTTAGATTTACCTGACGCATCAGGTGGATTTGCACAAAGCATCAGTATGTGATGGCAGCCTGAGTTTTATTTGGTATCAGTATCAGAAAGGAAAACGATGGTATTGGACACCACTAGCTCTGAACTGGAAGGGAAACATCTTCATCTACAACAGAAAGGTTCACTTGTTTTGTTTGTATTTTGTCCTCTTTAATCTAATGATTGCACCTGTTTTGCAATGCTGTAGAAAGTCTGTGAACAGGCTGAGGAGTAGAGATTATGATGTTTGCACGTCTGACAGCGATTTCTTTTTATTTTTTATTTTTTGGTTTTGTGAGGAAAACTAGGAGTGATGGATGGAGGGCATGGGGGGGTTGGGGTAGGCTGAAGTTGAACACCCTGGCTGGTAATATATGCGGCTCTATTGTAGTGAATCAATGCACCATGAATTAATAGGAGGGGGGTTGTAGCGGGGGCTCTGACCAGAGGTCTACTGCCTCATGGTAAAAAAAAAAAACCCACACTTAAGAGCGCGCTACGTCAACCAGAGTCTTATCGGAGTGCAACAAAGTGTCTATCTTTGTTATTGTCCTATTATCCTCACTCTGTGTCTTTTTGTTGAAGGAACAGAAACATTGTGGCTCCTCAGAGAAGGATCCTCTGCTGACAGGTTGAGGTGAAAACTTATTTAAACCTCTGTATTTAGATTTGTGGTGCTGCCGAACTTTTATTTCTCTGGACAGCCAAAGGAAAGAAGAACCCCTAAAACATCAAGAAACATCCAGCATGGATTAAGGTAAGAAGGTTTAACAAGTGCTTTAACTGTGTGTGGTTTCAGTTCATTATGTTAGTATTTAACCACACAGACTGGAATACTGAAAGTAAAGTAGTTTGTATGACTTCAGAATAAAACTTTGGTGGGAACAAAAACACATCCCAAGCTGACACTATTGGAACAGTTTTAGATCAGAGCAAACTGAGAAATTGTGCAAAGTTTTCATCTGTTCACAGGTTAGGCTTGTTGAAATAGGAACAAAAACACTGCAACAATGCCATTTAAAAATAAGTTGATTATAGTCTGAACCGTTTCAATTTAAGTAAAACAATCTACCAGTGGAATAAAATAATTGAACTTTGTAAGACTTCTTGAAAGAAGAAACAATTCAAGGCCAACAAGATAATCTAACATGTTCTGCCCTTGCTCAGTACATCAGTCTCAAAACAAAATCAAAAATATTTTTTGGCTGGATATGATATTGTAAGACTTGATTAGATAGATAATGGTATTGAAAAACTGTACATGAACATGGAAAAAGAGGAAAAACAGTAGAGCAACATCATCCTCTGATTTTATCAGCACTTGTCATCTTTTTAAAAACGATAGTTGAATGCAGTGTTCATACTGTAGGCCCCATGCTTTGTTTCAGGGCCTGTCTCGTTAAAGCAGACTGTGAGAACTAACCCGATCCTAATAAGAGATGACAAAGGACAAAAAACTGTACAGACAAGACGGAGAACAATCTGCGGAGGAGGAATCATGGTCAGAGGTAGAAAAAGTGGGTGAAGACAGATCAAGGACTCATTTTGGGCACATTTTAGTCTGAATGGTTGGATTAGTTGAAATGATCTCATTTAGTGAACAGGAAATAGTTTTAAAATTTAAAGCACCGATGAGTAAAACACTGGCTTTGTTTTATTTCATCAACAGAACTTGCATATGTTTAGGAATCCACCATATATCAAACTTTGACCATCTTTAATCTTGTGCTTTTAGGACGTGACCTACGTCCCCTCTGGTGCATCATGTCTCAAGCAAGAGAAAGCAGTGAAGGAAGTCAGAGGAGCTTGTCCTGGCTCATTCTGGTATGCCTCCTGTTC